AATTTACTGGGAAAATGTATTAATTGTAACAGTAAATCACGTGGTGATTCTTTTTGGCTATTAGGAATCAATCCTCAGAACAATCAGCGATACTCACACACAGGTTCAAATACAAAAAATACAGTTTCAGCATCCTGTAACACAGGACTTTTAATTCCACTCTAAGTCTGCTGATGTTGTAACTAGGAATTCATAGTTTCATTAGTGGCCTTTACAAAAGTCTGTCTGCTTATTAGTCTGATAAGTGACAACAAAATGAAAGTGTGTTTTGTAGATCCTTCTTAGCAATAGTACTAGACATACTTAAATAAGCATTAAGTAATATAGGATTAGTGTAATATTGGATTATATGATAATGAATTTTCTACGAAACCACTGGGGCAGGTACTAATGCCTTGTCTTTTGACAATTTTCAATTGTTTTCAATTGGTTTCTGAAATAAATCTGATATATATGTCAATGTATTCTTTTCACTGGGGAAAATTACAGTATTTGCTGAAGATACTGTATGTAATTGGCCTGTATTATGTTTTGATACTTTACAGGGTGAATAGCAGTTCTAAACAGGCAACGTTTGTTGTACATTGTCTGAAGTAATTTGCTAATGAGGTGTAACCTGTTGCCTGAGATTGAATTAGTAGCACATATTGATTGCCCATTGACTGCATTTCATATAATTTATCCCTATATTACTGTATAATTAGGTTATGTGATTTTATGCCCTATTAAATTAGCAATGCTCTTAAGTATCTCAAATTGCATGTAAATCTTGGCAGTGCAACTGTACCTTTTCAATGACAAAGCAGATTAGTTTCGATCAACATCTTTAGTATTTTCTTGTGTTGTTAGCACTTGCTGGCTTCAAATTAGACTTAATTACAATTAAAAAATAGTTATGCATATACCAGAGAGACAGGAGGAATTTTATCTAATTCACAATTCCCACCTGTATATATCAATATGAGTTCTTAATAAAATTAATCCTGAAACACTAAGATCACAGTTATTAAGAATAAATTATTTTATTCACCTTACAACATTTAGTTCTAAAAATTAAAGATTCAACTTTATTTAACCATTTTTAAATTTAATAAATTTGGTGATATTATGCAATAACAGTCTGCTAATGCAAATGGATCATATATATATATTGCTTGAGAAAAGAGTATATGATAACATTTGGATAACATTTGGTAATACTTTTAGTGATGGTACACAATTGGCTGTTCTGTTTGAGTCATGCATGTTATTCGGCCATGTTTTACTCACATTTTGGTGTAAAAGTGGGACCTGATGCTTGCTAACAGGTCTATTTGTGGTCCAACAGTTACTACATCATTTGTAAAAATCCTGTAAACTCTCCTTGCAAAGTACAGTAGGCTACAGTTTAGAACATGCATGGTGTCAAATGGCAAATGGTTCTTCATGTTGGAAAAGAGTGTAGTTATTCTCATGCATAGTTCAGGAGCTACAGTGTAATAGTAGGTTGAATTAATAAGAAAATTGCAAGTAAAAAAATCTCCCTAAATGGTAAAGGAACTTGCTGTCCCACTGTAAGTACTAACATATCTTCCTTGTTTTCCTACATTTTGCATCCATTTGTTCAATAGCATTTGTTTTTCACACAGGGTTTCCAACTTACTAGTGGAGCATGGCACTGTGGAATCCACTGTCTACCAATCTGTAGGAGACTGGTTAGAGGCCATAAAAATGGGTCGATATACAGAACATTTCATGGAAAGTGGTTACAGTTCAGTGGATGCTGTGGCTCAGATGACCTTGGAGTAAGTCAACCATAATCTTTATTTTTTCCCTTATTATGTATTTTTCACCAAAAAGTACTATAGATATATAGTACTATACAGTATATTATATATATATAATTTATATATTTCCCTATGGGATTAATAAAGTATTATCTATCTATAGATCTTGAAGTGTACAGTGACATGAAAAAATGAAATGACAGGATTACCATAAAAACTGAACCAAGTTTTAAGCTCACATTTTACAAGCTAAGCAATGCACTCAAATAGGAACTTTGAGTTTTAATTTAAGTTATTTCATAACAAGCCATTATCTTAAATCTAGAACAACTTAATAGAAAACCCCATAAAATTTGAAATGGGAAATCCTATGTGTATAACATAGGTTTTACAAAGTGAAAACATATATAAAGTTATGCCGTAAAAATGTTACACATTGGTAAATACCTGTATAAAAGATTGGTTTATTTAATATATAACAACTACATTATTGTTCTGCTTTGAACAATATCACATAACTATTCAACATCAAAATCCAATAACAAATATAATAACAAAGCCCTGTAATCTTAAGGAGCCTATTGGCATGTCATACCTGTTGGTAAAAGCTTTTGCCAGAGTGAAAGTGAACATATGAACTTTTAGATCATTTTCTCAGTTGTTATGTTGTACGCAAACTATTCTGTATAGAACTTTGAGAAGACATAAGACATTTATCAACATCCCTGACTGCCAAAAGGACATCAGAACACAATTATGTTGCTCCTGTCCTGTTAGGAACTGTATTTGGAGCTCCACTAACAATGTCACAAGTCAGACGTGCTTTATTACTTTCTTTATTATTTTTATTATTATTTATTTCTACATTTTAGTATTTTCCTAATAATACATGCTTGTTTTGTTTAATGCACACAGGCATGACCTCAGTTAATATTTACCTGTTACTTCTCTGACAGAGACCTGAGAAGACTTGGGGTAAATCTCGCCGGTCATCAGAAAAAAATCATCAGCAGCATTCAAGAAATGAGAGTTCAGATGATGAATGGCACAGTACCAGTTTAAGCCTCCTGGCAGAATCATGGTACCTTTAACCCCTGCACTTTTTATGAATTTGAACATGTATTTATTGCTTAGGAATATTAAGAAGGGAAGGAACTTTTTATGTGAAGAAATTCTATTTGCAGCCAGACGGTCCAACTTGTATTTGTAAATGACTTCTCTGTTGTGCATTTCAGTTTTCAGGAAGAGCAATCAAGATGCATGGATCATAGAAGTTAAAACTGTTAAATTAACAAATATGAAAACAAAACCACATCAGTTTCTGTGCTGAATGTATATAGCAGTTTTTTTTTTCTGATCTCCCAATTCAAGCACGGATACGTTTTTTTCCAGTCACCTTGAATAGTCAAATTCTCCCTGTGGCTTATGGGTCTTTTGGACTTAAAAGCTGAAGTTATTCAAACTAATCTGTGTTGTTCCAAGTTCTAAATATTCCAGTGATATGTATAAAATGCAATTTAAGATGCCCACATTAATCTTACTAATTTCTTCCAATTCCAAAAGCAGGAAAAAAAACAATTGTATTATGGCAGTGCAGCTTTTTCAAACTCTTGTGTAATTATTTTTTATAATACAATATATTCTCAATAAGACAATTCATTCCTTTACTTTTCCATCCGTCTTGATTTTGTTCTGTGTATATAATGTACAGTTTGATAAAGCAGGGTATAAATGTTTTTTTCTTTCTTTGTTTTTGAGGTGCAGGAGTCTCTATTTTATACACTGCAGTGAACTATCAGTGAACAGAGGAAATAAGTTATTGTGTATGGTTAGCTGATGATAGAATACCTTCTTCACCCCCTTTAATGAGAAAAAACAAATCATTTTGCAGTTTGTGAACAGATGTGTATGTTCTGATTGCTATTTTGACATATTTATCCAGCTTGTTCCTGTTTGATATAAATAAAATATTATATGGAAACATGATATTGATAGGTCAAATTGTACTGGAAATTGTACACTCAGCAATCAGACATGCTGATATTGGTGAATTCCTGGTGAGTGTCTCATATTAAATTTGGTTATATTTGCTGAACAAAAATATTAAAGCCTCTGCTATTTCTAAGAACAATTTAGTACAGCATTGTTTCAAAAGAAAAATTAGCCCAAAAATTTCAAACATTTTGGAACAGGCTTCCTTAGGACTGTGTAGATTTACTATTAGCTCTTGGAGAATAGTAGCTACAGAAGCCTGCAAACATTTTACTAAATAAAATTGATTCTAAAATTGATTCTAACATATTAAAAGTTTAATTGCTTAAATATGTAAAAGAGCAAATACACCTGTAATGTCCCTATCTTGGTTTTCAAAAATGATGACTTGCACATAATAAACACCCATTATTTCAGTTTTCTTCGACTATCCCACTACTTCTTTTTAAAGCAAAGAAATTCAATACCACCAAAAAAGAATTATACTGGTCAATCAAAAGTCTTATTCTTCTGTTTGAGAAAGTAGACAGTGCACTTTTACTATCCACAGAGTAATTGTACCCCCCACCACCAATGATGTCCCATTTTTTCAAAATTACACAGTTATGTGCACACATTTCTAAAGTGAATATTTTTAATTAAAACACAAATGCTCAATCTTAACACTTAATGCTTTTCTTAGTGATAGAAGTTAAATGTCAGAAAGAAAAGAAAAATCCTAAACTGAAATATGTTGATGGCATTAGCATTCACCACCAATCAATACTAAGTGAATCAATACTAAGTGGAAGAACCTATGGTGGCAGTTACAGCTAAATGTCTTTTTAGCTTAAATCTCTACCAATTTTGCAGACCAGAATATTTGCAAATTAGACAGCAACATTCAACAAATCTTTGTTCAAATTAGGACATTGATTTGGTCACTCAAAGATACTCACTGTGCTCCAGTTAAGCCACTCCAGTAAAGCTTTTGTCTTGTGCTTCCTACTGCACAGTGTAGGTGCCCCAATTTTAGATCTTTGGCAGACTAAAGCAGGCTTTACTTTAAGATTTGCCTATACCTTTCTCCATCCATTTTCCTCTGAATCTTGATAAGATTCCCAGTCTCTCCTGATGAGAAGCAGTCCAATGACACCACCTCTGTGCCTTTTCAGTAGGGTTGTCGTTGACTGGGTGGTGTGCTTTGTGGAGCTTGCAAAAGATTTAACACCTTACTTTTAGACCAGAGTGAGAGTGTATTACTTGCTGGAAACTCTGTGTTGCTTTGAACGATATACTTCAGATGGATTTGTCACTCTGCTGTATAGGTTAACTTTGTGGAAAGACCAGGAAAATGACTGTTCACTCATAATATCTCATTTTCTGTCATCTCGTCTATTGAACTCTATAGCACTATCAAAGTCTTGAGTCTCACTAACCAGTTTTGGAGAAATAGCCTGGGTGTCTGGGTGATATGATACACCTTCCCTTTAGTTATTGTGACTTATTTACCCATCTAAGTGTCGAGTATGAGCTTCACACATAAAAGTGTTCTGTTTGAGCATTCCAATTTTGATTAAAAATGATTACTTTTAAAAATATACATATATGAGTTGTAATTCAACAAAATAGGAAATCATTGGAAGAGAGTGACTACACTTGCAAGGTACTGTGAGTGCCTCATAATCTAAGTTCAGAATCTATTACAATTATTAAGCACCCCAATCGTGATGTTTAATTTACAGCTTTATAACAGATAATAAGAAAATATTGTAAGTCAAGTTACTTTGGATAAAAGTGTCTGCCAAATGAATCAATGTAAATGAAGTACAACAGGAAGGATTTACAGTGGTGTTTGTGTAACATGATATTGAGTTTTGAAACATAATCAAAGTAATGTTGACAACAGCAATTTTTCACACAGAAAACAAAGCTACATACAGTATAGTCTTCCTTTCCATGTAATACTTTTATAAATATTAATACTAATTAGAAAAAAATGCAGTTTGGGAAAAGTGATAGGAAAGGTGTCTGATGTCCTCTGCAGTCTTTTCTTTGACAAAAAAGTACAATTTAGTTCTCTTTATTTTTGATGATGTACTGTATATTGCTATTTACCATACTGAGACACAGTTGTTGTATCAAGGGACCTATCAAGGACCCACAGCTCTATGAGGTAATTTGACACAAAAACGATTTTAGAGACTTAAAATCTACAATCAAATAATCGGAAAATGATTAGAGACATACTGTTGTAAAATCCATCAAATCCATGCGGAACTGCTCTGTTGTACATACATGCACATTTTTCAGTGTGCATAAAGATATAAATGTAACCATAATAACTCAGAACCATCTGTAATGTAACTGTTAGAGGATCTTAAAATGTATGAACTCTGTGTAACTACTTAATAAACACAGTGTTTTTTTACTTAGACTTATAGAATTCCAAAAGTTGTGCCACAGATTCTTTCTATAGGTGGGTCAGAATAACACATTTTATCATTTTTAAGTTTTGAATCTATTTTGAATGCTTGATAGTCTAGGATCTGTTTTTCATTTCCTCTCTCAATAAAGAATCGTCATACTGAAGTTAAACAAAAGACAGAAGAAATTAACAGATGTATTGTGTGGAGTCCTCAGGCATAAACTTGCTTGTTCTAAGGTTATCCTTTTTTTACATTTCAGTCCATGACACAATTATAATGCCATTTATTCTGCAGAATTAGAATATTAGCTAAGCAAATCATTATTCTGGATGTATGCTTAATTTCAAATGAAATTAATTTTTACTCATCTAAATCTAAGGCAAGGTCAGACTGCTTGATGAATTTGACTTTTCTAATTCAGTACAGAGGTACTGAAACCAGAAGAGGTAGATGCTGCTAAATTACCATTTGATCATTTTGATTGTTTTGTGTGAAAAGTAATTTAATTTCTTATAACTTTACTTAATGTGCAGAAAGTCAGATAACAAATTTCAGTGTTATCTTAAAGAGGGGCATTGAGCTGTATTAATTGATAAAAATATTTTGCAAAGATACTGTACTAAAATGTTTTCACCATGTAAAAGTCATTCACTCTTCATTGATTATATATCTTTTACCCTAAGTCTCATGATTTAATCATACAAATACAATTTTAATTATAAAAACATAGAAATTAATAGCTCTGTTGTATTGTTTCCTTCCTGATACTGTATGTGTATTTTGGTTGTGTAAATGTTTTTGTAGTGTAAGATATGAAATTTTATATTTTTTCAAAAAAGTAATAAAAATGTACAATTTTACCTTCTTTGAGGCTTGCATTATATTTTTTAATGTACAAGATAAGATAAAAATAGATTTATCACTTGCGTCTTTCATTGATCAATACATTTCCTCATATTTTTCAGATTAGTTTGATGTAATGGAAAACAGCAGCATGTCTACAATTAGCTACACTGGTACAGAGTCAAATATTTTCATGAATTAATAAAGACGCACACATCTGGTAATTGGGCTTCATACAGTATACCTACTACACAATTCTTTCATGGAAAACATTACAGCATAATCTATAATACTGCAAATTAATTTAAACTTTTCATTACACTTTTGATTGCATCCAAACAAAAAACTTCCAAAACAGCAGAAATGTCTAAATACTTAATTACATCAACCATAACTAATAATTGCTGCACTATAATATATGTATATTATTTTGCTTTTTAGAAAATTGAATGTTTTGTTGACATTGCACAAACAATAATGATATAAAGGCAACATATGCATATACTGTAAGCAGGAAGCAATACATTTATATACAGATGAGTACATGTTTTGAGTTATGTTATTGACAGAGGTTTATTCAGCTCTGAACATATTTCTGAATAATATACTCAGATTATTGAATCATAGTCATTACTTTGCTCCTAGCTAATCGAAAGCTTCCCCCATAATACTAAATAACATTTTAGCTTTAAATGTCCCCTATACACTCTGGTGTGAGTATAGACAAAGTTTTATTTAAGTAATTTAATTTTGTTTTATTTACCTTTCTGTATCCTCTGCCATCCACGCAAATGTCTTTTATCACTATGCTTCCTAAAGGCTAAAACTGCGTTTTCTTTCTTTTTAGTGTACAGTATACTGATTCATTATATAATAATGTCAGTCAATTTTTAAATTGTTATGATTTGTCCCTGAGAACATTGAATGAAAGTGATAAAAGGTATCAAGGTACCTATAAGTAATTCAATTCTATAAAAATATAACATGAAAGGTTTTGCATTTTATTGAAAATTCTCAAACAGATACTAGAAAGGCATCTACTGTATGTAGATTATAGCATGTATATTGGGACTTCCAATGAAATCGCAGAGGCACCTCAGAAATACCTCTGAACTCCTGACTTGTACAGCCAAATGGAGCAAAAGACAAGCCAACTAAGCCAAAAGAATGACCTGCTGTGGAACACTTGAATGTTATATTGAGTTCTGGGAAGCAACATTATATTATGAGACTTTTACTCTAAACTCACATATCACCTCTTCAACTGCCAACCTCGGTGACTAGTAGGCAGTTGAACTTGACACTGGGTGACATCCTCTTCTTAGACTGAGACTTTTACATGGCCCTTGCCTTAGACAACTATTCTTTTGCATTTCTAATTATAGAGCAAGTAAAAAAGTAAAGGATGCAACAAAGAACCATCTGTAATGTTTCCATTTACAGGTTTTTCTTTCATTTGGAAAGAGCAACTATAAATGGGTTGTATTTGGGGGGTTTTTGTTTGACTATGAGCAGTTTGTGTGGGCTTTTGTTGTCCTCATTGTGATTTAAATGTTTTTTTTTCTATTATAAATGTGGATTATTTATTCCAATCAAAATCAGAATCTAACAATTTTGGAGAGCAAGTTTCATTCCAGTTACACAATAAAAATATTGGTATTAACTGGAAACTTTAAAGAAAGGTTTTCACTTAAAAGAGTTTCAAATGGGGGGAAACCATTCGGTCAGGCCCCTTGGGTAGCAGCTAATTAATCCAGAATTTCATCCTGCTACTTCTTAAAGGATCCCAGAACATCAGCTTTTATAACAATCCTGGGCAGTTCTAAATCCATCTCATTTTAATTTACATCTGTGACCCTATGTTCGGTTTTCTTAGCTGAACTTGAGAAAATCACTTACGATGACAATATGAATACCTTTGAGGTTTTTGAAAACTTGAATCAAATCCCCTAGCAATCTTCTGTTCTTTAAGAAAAAAAACTCAGCTCCCTTGGCTTCCATGTGCATTACATTCCTTTGAGACAAGAAATTAATCTGGTCCTTTTTTTGGTGAAATCTCCAGAGGAGCAACCACAGAGCCCTTCTGTAATGTAGTGACCAAAAAATAATTCTGTAAAAGAGGTCACACTAGTAGGTTGTTCAGTGTAGAAACACTCTCCTTGATTTGAATTCAATTTTTATTGTCTAAGCATAGTCATAACCTGTTTCATTATTTTATAACAAGAGATGCCAGACAATTATATCCTGTTTTCAAGACGTGTCAAAGTTCACTCAACACCTATTTGTTATGTTTTGTCTACATTTCAATTTTTTGCATTTCAAGTGCTGTATTTAAAAAATCATTTGGTCAAGTGCTCATCCAGACTTTACAGACTGTGCTAAGATGATTTCTCTACAAATACTAGTGTGTTATTTAAATTTGCATGAATCTAAAACTCCATAATGTTGCTATTGTGTATAGTGAGAGACTTCAGGCACCTCTCTGTGTCTCCTATTCTTAGTCTATATACATTCAATTTAGTGGATTCCTATTATCTCACATATTGGGAGGCCATCATTTCCAAAAGATTGAGAAGTGGAGCATAGCCAAAAGCTTTGTCAAATATACAGTATTTATAGCCATTAAAAGCTTAAAATTGGTTCCACTTACTCATCTGCTGCATCTATGCCTTTCACAACAAGTATGCTTCCATCTTCCCATTGAGTCATTTTAAGGTAATGCACAGGTGACCAGTGTTCAAATTTAGGACCTGTCTATTCCCTGGGAGTTTAATTATCACTGAAAGAGTCATTTCCAGGTACTGTAATTTGAGCCATGAGTGCAGTGCATTGTAATCTGTACACCACCTAGGGGTTCACAAGGCTAAAAGAGTGTGTGTCTATCCTTCCAGAAGGTCCTTCTAATGTTGAATTAATGCTCCTTTGAAGTTGGTGACTATGGTTCCAATCACTGCTGAGATCTAATTACTTCCTTCATGTTGCAGTATCATATCTATTGGCATCCAATTATGTTAACATAATCAAACACCTTAGTTTAACACACTGATTCTAATGAGCATCCTCCATTATACTGTATATAATCTCCAAGATAATCTTCTCGTTTAGCTCTAAATATTGTGTGCATTACTTTACCTGAAACAGACTGGCTTGTAATTATCTAGCTTAGTTGTATTCCTGTTGCTTATGGATGGGTTTAAAAATACATACTTAAAATTTTAGTTTTGCAAGATAAATGTCCACTTTCTAGCAGTATAAAATTCAAGTTAAAAACAGACATTTAAAATCTTTTCTACTGTAGAACAATTAGAAATTGTACATACAAGTATTATTTACAAATTAGAAGAATTAAAAGAGCAATTTAGTTCAAATTAGTTGATTTTACTGTATTAGAGCATCTAATATTTTCACCTCTGTTAAGTAAAAGTTATTCAAAACTGAGAAGGTTTTTATTTATATAGTGCAAAGTATACATTAGAAAATATTCCCTATTTTAAGTTTCTTTATAATGAAATTATACTACTCAAACTGCAATGATATCTTGCACTGTAATATAGAACATCAAAGACTACTTTGACCACTTTTTAGAAACATGATTGCAGAGAAGCAAGAATAAGGTCTTCTTTTTCATAAATATATTCAACTAAGCTTAATTAAAAATAACTGCAGTCATGTGGTACCACATTTAACACTCCATTAAAATCTCATTGCTCTGCTCAGTCACCCTTTTGGAAAACCTTAAATTAAGATACAATATGGGCTTTGAAGTGTGCAATTTTAATAACACAACCAAGTTCAGAGGTTGTGCTGGATTTACATATGAATAAGCTGGAGCTGTCTGACAACATTCTGGTGCAAAAGTATTTTTGCCATCATTTCAACACTGAGTACAAAGAATAATTGTTGACTGAATTATACATTTGAAACAAAATTCAGGATTGGAGAGGTTATTGACAAGGAAGCATTTCTTTCCTTGATTGAAGATAAATACTAAAAAGTAATTAACAAGGACAGAATGCATTCCCAAAATGAATTCTGCAAAACACTGTAAAAATAGATCTAAATCTATTTTGCAGGAGGGAAGGGAGACATTTTTATACAGTTTGATGCCATGTGATATTATATACAATTTCCATAAAGCACAAGAAATATAAAACTTCCTTGGCTGATACATGTTTTCAATAACCCAAACATATAAATCCTACTTGATACCAGTATACACGATTAACTAATTAAAATATTATATATTGTGGACAATATATCTGTCACGAACGCTAACCCCTCCTCTTAAGGGCGCTCCAGCCCTTCCTTGTTCCCTCCCATTGTCTGCACCTGTTCCCTATTCCCGCTCCCCCTTAAAAGCCAGACGCGGACCTCACTCTTGGTTCCTTATTGATTTCCGCATTGTGAGAGCCCGGGGTCCTGCTGCGTCTGGCTCCGTTATGGTTTTAACTTTCTGTTCCTGATCCCCTGCTCCGCCGGTCCCGACCCGGCTCATGGTTTTAACCCCTGGATGGATCTCCTGCCTTTGGACCCTTCTCTCCCGTCTGGATTTCCCGTTTGGACTTCGGCTTTGTTTGTTCGCCCGGGCTCACTTTCCCTGTACACCAGCTCAACTTGGACACGCCCCTCTGTATCATGACCCTTTCCTGCATGACTTTTTCCCTCATGTAACTTCACTATTCTGGATTGTGTCGTCCGCATAGGGCCCGGAAGGACCTGCTACGTGACTATCTAATATTTGAATGTAAGTTCAGATACTATTATTTATCAAATCGTATATGGCAGAACTGGGTTTAAAGTCTCCATTGATCATTACATGACTTCTCTTATAACTACAGCTTCCTAAATATTTTGTGTTTATATCATAAAGATATAATTATTTGTTTGTAAAACAATATGCCACAGAAAGTAACATAAAAATATATACACTGCATATCAAAAGTTTC